AAACCATTCTCTCTTTTGGAAACTTCCTTCCCCTTTCTTTCGAGTTCTCCCCTGTGACTCTTCAGCTGTTAAGCTGGGATAGCAGAAAGGAGCATCTCACACATGCCCAGGGATGTGGGCTGCTCTGTTAATATTTCCCCACAATCTATCACATTATAGCACACTAATATTTCTCCAGTTCACCTCCAGCTTGGTCTACAACAGTCCTCTCCATGCTGCCTCCACTGGCTCCATCCTTGCCAGTCACTGGAGAACCAAGTCCTGCCCAGCATCTGCTTTAGGGGTTTCTGCTGCTGCACACCACCCCAGTAATTTCCACATAAGAATGATATGAATTATGAGGAATATTAGCAGAATATTCTTCTTTATTCCCATAGGAAGCACCACAACACCCCAAAACAACACAGCTCTGCACTGCAAGCTCAGCTCCACACAAGGCAAGGAGGAAAGTCAGCACCTTCTAGCAATGAACTGATGTGCACCTCGATGTGAAGTGACAGCTCCTTCCAACCACTCCAGTGCCCACGGTGGGCAGTGCAGCCTGCTCACTAGAGCCAAAGCCAAGGAGCTGGGAGGCCGTGCTGTACTCCTGGCTCTCCTCACAAGTCACTGCTGAATGACCCATCAAGGAGGCACAAAGAGGCATTCTATCCCAAATTTCAGGGAGGCATAACCACAGAGGGCCTGGTTCTCCTCTAGCATGCACAAGGATCTAGGACATCCCCACACCAGAATGATACCAGCATCAGAAGACAAAATTTTTCCTCCTTCTTCCCAAGCAATCAACCCATCAACATGTTAAAAAAAATAAGTTTAATGTAGGTGGCATGTTTCATAAAGAACTTAACAGGCACCCAAAACACCAGCTGGTGGCATGTTCTGAGGAGTTAACAAGGTGAAGCTCCAACATTTCAGTCTCCTTCAGATATTCACAGGCTCAACAACAGGCCGAGGTGGTTTCACCACCACACGTACCATCACCATGGCACAACACAGCCTGGAAAGCTCTGGAGGGAGCACGACCCAGGGGGGAACTTCTCCAAAGGGGTTTGCAGGGGTCTGGGATGGACACACTCACCCAAATTAGTATTTCTAGTATTTTTCCTAATTACTTTTGAGGCCATTTTTAGCCCAGTAAGTACAATAGCAACACTTAAAGCCCAAATATGGAAAGACAAAATAAAAAAGATATAAAAAAGAGAGGGGACAAGCCAGCTGCTCTCACTGTTCAGGATGGAGTCAGCATGAAGGAATGCTGAAATGAGAATTCCAACAATTTTAGACTTATAGTCATCTCTGCTACATCCTTACTTGTAGCCTACAAAGCTTTGCTCCCCCCCCCTTCCCCTTTATTAAAAATGGCAAGTTTTTCACTTAAACTAAATGGGGGGGGGGGAAGAGGGGAAGCGTCCTTACTTGTAGCCTACAAAGTTTTGCTCTCCCCCCCTTCCTCTTTATTAAAAATGGCAAGTTTTTCAATTAAACTAAATGGGGAGGGGAAGAGAGGAGGGAACCACCAAATTATTCTTTGCATATATCCAACGTCTATTAGATTTATTCTGCCTTTTTCTCTCCCTCAGCTGTGGCTTGGCCCCCCCATGAGATTTTAAGAAAGTTTTAGAATCTCAGCTCCCTGAGAAAAAAATATATTGGCAAAGTAATCCTAAAAGCTCTAAAAAAAAAAAAATCTCAGATTTAAAACAACTGAATTTAAATTCTGAACCATTACCAGGATCTTACTTATTCTGCAATCTCCTGGGGATGTTGTGAGGTTTAATTAGCTCTAGTTGGAACATGCTCTGAAGAGGAAAGTGCCATGGAGGTGCCAAACACTGCTCCACTCACGTAGATCTAAAATGTTCAAATTATTACATCATAAAACAAGCCATTTGAAAATTAATTCCTCTTCCTTGCCAGCAGGACTTCAAAGGGACCTCAGTTCCCTCCCTGTGCTGGTAGGATCCCACCACCTGAGTGCCACAGGGTGTCCATGTGCTGGCAGTGACCAAGCATCAGGGTATTCTGAATGTCACAGCCCCTGCAAAGCCTTCTCCTCAACTACTGCATCGTGGGGGTGTCTCTCTGTGCAATGGCAGCCTTGAGATTCAGGGCATTCTGACAGGCACTTGGCTACACTTCCCACTGTCTTCTCAGCAACTTAGCCCAAGGTCTCTCTCGAGGAACACTTGGGCATTTGGCAAACATTCATTCTTGTGATTTGATAAGGACATGCACTTTTCCTCGGCACGCACCGCTGGAGCTGGATGCAGAGAGCTGCTGGGAACTGTGCACTAAAGCAATGAACTGCAACACACAAGCCCTGGGTCCTTCAACAGCCACTGCAGGAGTGGTGCAGAGATCTGGACTCCTTAAAGAACCACTGCTGAAGGGAGCCCCAAAAGTGAGTTGTTGAAATAAGAGGTAAAAGTGAAGCTTAACAGCGTCCGATGGCAAGGCTCAACCTGTTGCTGCACAGAGAACACAACAATGATCCAAAGTCACCAATGCAAAAGTTTAATGCCCTGTGATACAAGGTTGTGGCACAGTCTTGGTCGCTTACTGAAGGTCTGCAGTTGACAAGGGGCCTCTGAACCTCAAGGAGCACCCCTGAGAGGTGTCCCAGCTCAAGGGGAGGTCACCACTGTGCAGCCAGCTGCTTAGCAGAGAGCTCAAAAAAGCTCACTCAGGCTGTCATGTTTATGGAATAAAGAGGCTGGCTCATGGCCCAGTTACGTGGGATGGCAAAGGTAAGCAGGAGACTCCTTGTACCCACAAGCTCCTTTGTTCCTTGACCAAGTTAGTTCAGAAGAACCCCCTGCTATTCATGTGTTAATCGCATGATCGGTGTTCTGCTTTCCCAGCTCATACACATCAAAGCTCACCGTGTCACCCTGCTCCTCTGTGGGCTTCCAAAAAAGCAGCTTGGAATGAGAGAAGTTCATGACCTGGCCACAGCCTAGACCTTTACTTCCTTTGGAGCCTAAATCAAACCACCACGGGTCTGATCAAACAGTTGAGAGTATCCATCAGGAAGAGCCGAAGCCGGCACGGGTGGGGAGCACAGCAGCACCCACACGTACCACAGATCACCCTGTCACCCATCGTTGCAAGGAGTGCTCAAATAGAGCCACTCCAAGGTGAAACAAGGTCCTACCACCCAAGCAGGCTCCACGCCGTGCCTCCTGTGAAGAGTGAAGAGGAGCTGCTCTGAGGAGCTGCTCTCGGCTGCTCCTCGCCGGGGTCCCGCCTGGCCGCTCAGCCCCCACCAGGGCTGTTTGCTGGCCATCTGGCCACATTTCCTGCAGAGATTCTCCAGCACTGCCATCCCAGGAGTCCCACGGGCTGCACACCAGAGCTGCAGTGCCCCAGGCTGACAGCTGTACTGGGGAGGAAAGCACTGGGCTGGGAATTACTGGGAATTCCCTCTGCTTACAGCGCAAGCTGTAGCTCAGACCTGCAGGACGCCAAGGACCCGCAGCCCAGAAAGCAATCCCAGAACAAGGCTCTGGGAGCTCTACAGTTTGGAGGAAACTTGCAGGCACCAGTTTGTGACATATGCTGACACTCCATTTTCCTGCAGAAACAGCCTTTGGCTCTCGTGGGGCTCATCTAAAGTTCACAGCACCACGGCCCATTATTTATTCAGCTCTGCGTGTTCAGTCTGCATTATCTGTAACACTTGATAATGAGATAATTTCTGGGTTTGCTTTAGCTTTGGGCTCCAGACAGAAGCTTCTCTACATCCCATCCATAACCCTACAGATCCAAGCACGCCAGCAAAAGACTCACAAGCTGAAATATGAAGCACCCTTCTCTGTGTGCAACCTGCCTTTGTTTTCAACCACGCTCACACCTCAGAGCAAAGAGATCACAACAGAACAGTCACGTACCTCCAGTCCTGCTGGTTAGAATCAACTCCTCATTTCATGGGGAAAGGGGGAAAAGGGTCTCCAACCATTTTACCAACTTGTTTTTAAACAGTTCTTTAAATAACACAGAGAAAAGAGCAATATGCCATTATAAGGATCAACAAACAAAAGCACAATAAAAATAAGCCTTAGGCCAGCTTCTGGACTCCATGAAGAAAGGTACCTGACTGACTGCAGAGGAACAGCCCATCTTAGATGAAGACCAGTAAAACTGAGCTTAACTAAGCTTAACTCCCTACTAAAGCTGTCAGTAAAGCTCCCAGTGACACTCTCATCACTCCAGAGGTGACAAGAGTGTTTTCTGTAATCACAGAGAAGCATTATTGCCCTTTCTGATTGTCAGCCTCATCTCACCATATTCTGCAAGACAGAAGGAGCTCTGTGAGAAAAACTGGAACTAATCAATTCAGGGAAAGGTAGAACCAAATGCCAAGATCAAATGTTACAACCGTTGCAATGGGTTCTTCTTAATGACTGCAAAATGATAACACATTTGCCATGACTGGGAATTTCCAAGAGCACAGGAGATCAAACTCTGCTCCCATCACTCCAGTGGATTTGTTCTATTAGGGCAAGACTCAATTACTCAGCACTGACTGCCTGAAAAGCACAGAGCCATTCAAAGCTTTATAATTACATTAAAGTGAACAGAACAGTATTGAGTCAAAACCATGTCTTGCAAAAAAACCTAAACACAAACCCACCACCAAACCCCCTCCACACTGAATTTGGCCCCATAATAGGCAAAACAAACTACACAGAGAAAGGGCAGCACGGGTCAAGCAGGTACAAATTTCACACCTGAGACATTATGGAATGTTTTTGGAAAAAGGGTGAATATTGATTAAGAATGTGGAGTGCAAAGTTATCTGGCTTCTATCCTCCAGATAAATCACTGCCTTCTTCCTGCCCACAGGAGTACAGGAGCAGCAGCAAGTTGGCTCCTCTGGACTACAGGAAACTTGGATTAACTCCTGCTGTGCAAAGAGAAAACACCCAATCCAGTGCTGGACTTTGATAAAAATGGCACCTCAACCCTCCAAAAAACGAACCCCTCAAATTCCAGAGACAAGTAGGTTGATTTATCAATAAAAATCAGCACAACCGATTCATTTCTATAAAAAAGAAAGGAAGCTATTGAGACACTTTTGGGGGTAGAAGAAAAGCCACCTCCTCAGCCCACATGCGCTTGGTTTTTATTTACATATCCACAAACACCATGAAGCACCAGCCCAGCCCCCCCACCAGCAGCATGGTGACATGAATCCCATAGATGAGCAGTTCATTCATCAGGCTGAAGTCCACCCGCCTGCGCCCCAGTAAGAGGAGGATGATGGAGAGTTTGTACTGGAAACGCAGAAAGATCCGGATGCCGAGGTACTGAAGGCAAAACAGGATGGAGAGTGCCACCCAGAGGATGGAGGTGAAGAGGCTGCAGCTGAAGTACAGCAGGAAGCGGATGAAGCCGTACATCCAGCGGGACTTCAGGTAGATGTCGAAGTTGTTGTACTTGGTGCGCACCAGGTGAGTGGTTCTCACCGGCCCGCAGGCAGAGTGCAGGCAGGTCGTGTGGGGGCCGTGGAAGGAGCGGACCCGCCGGGGAATGGGGATTACAGGCATCAGGCACCCCACCGCTCACAGAGCCCCAGGGCAGGAGTTACAGGGCACATCGCAAGGATTATCGGTTAGCCCGGAGGGGATCCGGCAGCCTGGCAACGCCCCCGCTCTGCTCAACGCCCCCGGAGGGAGAGACCTGCGGGAGGGCAGAGAAGGGAAACACGGTGAGGTGGCTCCACAGCAGGAGGGGCAGCGTGGCAGAGATGTTCTGCTCACCTACAACTGCTTCACAGAACTCAGCTCCTCCTAAAACAACGCTTTGCTTCTTCACCGGCTGCTGACCAGGCACACAGCCCCAAATACAGCCCTGTTCTCAAGATTCCAAGCAGCATCAGCATCAGGCATAACCTGCTACAGGCTTTACAGTGTCAAGGCAGGAAAAGCAAGCCCTCTGTCCTGGATTTATTCTGTGTAATTCATGATCCTTCTTAATCAAACAGCCCTCCTGCAACGGTCTATCCACATGAGCAGGAATATTAATGTCTAAGTTTGCAACAGATCCTGATTGCTTTGAAAGGGGAATAAAAAAGTTCTCCAAGTACTTCTGCAAGTGAATTCCCCAGCCCAGAGGCAGCAGTGATTCTGGATTTTGCTCGTTTCAAAACTTGGCAAAGCTTCACTAAATAAACAAACCAAAAATAATGGAAGGTCTGGGAAGGACAATGAGGCAATCGTGTTTTTCACACCCTACAGGATGCACCTCCCCTCGCTCAGCCAAGCCTTGTGCTCCCACTGTCACTGCATCCCCTGGCAAGGCACCTTCCAAGGACAGCTACTAGTTTATTTCTGTCTTTGGGACTCACAGAGATAAGTGACTACTTTAATCTTCCAGAGTGTTTAGGATTTGTAATCTTAACATCCTCCTACACACCCATTGTTGTTCTGTGAGAGATGAGCAGTGGCCTGTTAGCTGCTCTCTGCTTCACCCCAGGCTTAGGATGTGCCAGATTCCGGGAATTATGAAAGGACAACACACTCATCAGATAATGCTAGAAAACAACAGGGACTTCCCCCAGCTCCCTGAACACCCCAGCACTCAGAGCCAGGCAGATTTTTCCTTGATTCAACCAGAAATCCTTTTACACTTAAAATTAGAAACTCATCCAAAAGTTACCTGAAGGATTTTTGACTTTGTGACCAACGTAACGAATCACAGAGTAAATTACAAGGCTGCAAGAAATGGGACTTTGGTATGGAAACCCTCCTCAGACAGTGCACATCACCAGGTGAGGCTCTTCACTGCTCCCTGCCTCCAGCTCCAGGCACATGGAAACTGCAGCTCTGATCTCCTCTGCTCGGCCTCAGGCTCCAATCCCTGCTCCCCTGACAGAAATTTGCAGGCCATCTGTTGGCTCTGCATGAATTTGGGACTAATAAAAGGGAGCGCAGGTTAAGTCATGATTAAGGAATTTAGGAAATGGAGGTTTGTTCTCAATTATCAAAGGCACCCTCGTAATTTTAGGTGCCTCTTTGCCATGGTTTCCTGTCTGACAAAAGGAAACACTGAGCAGCTCGGAAGCGTGTTACAAGAATGTGTTTGGCAAGACATAAGTTGGTCAGATACCAAAACAACACTCCTTAAAAACAACAGAGTTCTGTGCTGGAGCATGCAACAGAACCTGCTTCCATGCACTGCTCAGAGGTTGTCTTCAGAGGTATTTTTGGAGGACTAAATTAGCAAGATAGATTAAAATCCACGTACTCTGGATTCAGAGCGTTGAAGTTCAGACAATGCAACCTCTTCCTCTCAGCCTTTCACCAGGACACAAACACCAGCTTATGATTTTCCAGCAAACTGTTACACAGCCCCTGAGCAGCCCCAGGGAAATCAGAGCATTCAGCAAGACCATACCCACGTGAGGGAGCACAAACCCCACCTGCATAAGCTGTGGTTTGGGGGACAAACTCAAGACACTGGCCCCACCTTTGAGCCCTGGTTTAGGAGAGGATTCTGACAAAGCCTTCAGCAGATGGATCCAAGAGAACCACACAAACAGCCCAGCTGCAGAGACTTACTCCTTGTGAACAGCAGCAGCTTGTTCCCATTTACACTGCTCACCACAAACAGCCTTTGGCAGGTTCACACTCTTTAAAACCCCAACACAACCCTGGGAGAGCCACGAGCAGAGAGACATTGTGAGAATTAAATAAACTTTCTGAAACATTACATTGTTAATGGTGCTGCCATCCACTCAGCAGGTCGGTCACCTGCTGCCACTCTGGACACCCCTTAATTCTTGTAACAGAACTGTGAAGTTTCCCCAGGACACTTGGCCTTCTAGGAGGAGCAAAAGATGCTGCCAAGGTGCTCCACAGACTCACAACACTCTATGTACGAGTTGATCTAAAAGACAAAATGAGAGTAAGTTTCAATTTGCTCATTTTAGGTGTTGAAAAAATGTTCAGAACAAGGCCCCTGCCCAAGCATGAAATTTTGATCTCATGAAGAATCACCCAGGCAATAATAAATATTACAGCTGACTGCCACATGCTGGGAAGAATCAGTGAGCTCATATTCAATGCCATACACAAAGGCAGGAAAAAGACAACCCCAGGCAAGGAATTCTTAACAGTTACCTATCCCAGAGCCATCACTGCTCATCTGGAGTGGGTGAAGAGATGCAGAGGCCACACACAGCCAACGTTCTCCCACCAGAACATGGCCCCAAACATGTACGTTGGCACGTGGGGCCTAGGAGCCCATGTGGACACCCACTCCTCAGGATTATTTTTCAGGGGTGTTTCTGTTTTAAAGCACATTGAGGCTGGGAAGGTGAGTTGGGCTCCCCTGGCCATCAACCCACAGCTCAAAGGATTTCAACTCTAAGAGCCATGATGCCAGCCCTGCTGCCACTGCCCCAGGCATCACGTTAGTGGCCTCCTCCAGCAGCTACACATCCCAGTAACTACTCACTTTGGTGAGTTTTCATTCTCTCTCCTTTAAAACTGGATGATGAGAAGGCTGCTGAACTACAGCGCTTCTTCTCTTCACCTATCTCAGCCCCAAGCAAGGTTTGCTCTGGCTCAGGCTCCTCCCGACCCGCGGAGGAGGAGGAATGGCAGAAAGGCCTCGACGGGACCACCCCTGAGGACCAGCAGGACCCACACGTTCCCGAAGGAGCCAGAGGAGGTGAGGGGCAATGACAAACAAAGGTTAGCGCTGAGAACCGAAAGCGGGGAGCACCGGAAGGAAGGGAGATCCCAACTCCTCCTACATCCTACCAGCTCCTGAACCGAACCGCAGC